CCACCACCACCACCACCTCCACAACCGCCATCCCCACCACCACCAACTCCACCTTCATCACCACCACCACCTCCACTCCATCACTACAACTACCACCACATGATTAATACATAACACTTTTAACATCATGTCTATTTTAGTCATTATTCACAGTTACAACAATTTTATATTAAAATTTACCAAACGCTTTTACACTGCTTTTTGTACTAACAGCACTTTAAAAATATTGTTTACCAAACATGGAGCTGCTTTACTTTACAGCTAATTATTTTCAAAGCACAGCAGAAGCAACTTTTTTTAAAAGTGACAGCAATCCCAAACTAGGCCTAACCCTATAAAAAAAATCAGCATCTGCCTTTGCATTTAGTAATTTAAGTTGACTGAGTATTGATAAAATGTACCATATACTATAGATTGATGCTAAAAAGACTAGAGCCAATCACCTCCTATATTAACGCATCACATCCACTTGTATTGCAACCTAGCTTTGACATAAAAAGTAAAAATGGTACGTACCATCTCTCCATTTGAAATTGGATGGAGAACCTTGCTTTTGATGTAGTTGACCCCCCCTCATAATGCTTGATTCATGCAGGTTTGTACCAAAAAAGCGAGCAATTTAGGTCCAACCAATAAACCATTTTATCATTTACATATCAAACCCAAAAAGTGCATAGGGTTTGTGGGGCAAGAACATTATCTGTCTACGCGCAAAGAGTCCCCTGTGGGAGTGTATGAGAGAGAGAGAGAGGGGATGGATCAGATGGACAAGTTATAATATGTTAAAGCTGCAATTTGCTTCCTTTCCAACTAAACATATCTCCCCACATGAAGAGAGTTAGCTTTTGGCATGAAAAAATGGAGCAAAAGGCCGTACTCTGCTAAAATTGGATGGAGAATTAGATTCCAACACCACTAAACCAACCAAAGATCAGTCTTTTCCGATTGGGATCGATTTATTTATAAACAAACAAGTAGAATCTTCCGCACGTTCATTCAAGATAAAAACAGCAGCAGGAAGCACGATGAGATATATGCATGCAATATTCTTAAGATAAAAATAATAATGCCCAAACAAAAAGATTATGAGCCAGCAGCTCCACCCATGCATAAATTCTGGCCTTCATTTAAAGTTCAAATAATCAACTATTAAATAAGATAAACTAAACTGAAACCACCATTATTAAGGGAAATCTATCCTCTCTATTATTCTAAAACACTTCAGCCACAGCTGGTTTATTTAG